CGCTGATCGCCTGGAAACCGCTAAATACAGCACAGAGACTCTTCTGGTTGAGGTTTTGACAAAAGGGGGGTGCCTCTCCGAAGTGCTTTTTCAGCGCCTGGAAAGCTTCCTCGAAATCAGAAGTCCATTGGAACTTCTTTCCTTGCTTAAGCACATTGAAGAAGGGTAAGCTCTTATCTGTAACCCTGGAGATGAAGTGATTGAGCGCGGCTATCCTACCATTGAGGCTTTGGACCTCCTTCGGCTTCTGAGGTGACCTCATCTCCAGTAAGACCGTTATTTTTACTGGATTTACTTCAATTCCTCTTTGGTTAACAATATACCCCAAGAACTGATCCGAAGCCAACCCAAAGTTGCATTTGAGGGGATTCAACTTCATCTTATATTTTCTAAGTATCTGAAAAGTTTGGTTGAGGTGACTTACATGTTCGCTTGCCTGGAGGCTTTTGACTAGCATGTTGTCCACATAGACCTTCATGGTTTTGCCAATGAGTTCGACGAACATCGTGTTGACCAGTTTCTGATATGTAGCTCCGGTATTTTTCAATCCGAAGGGCATGACTTTGTAGCAATAGAGTCCTCTGTCTGTAATGAATGATGTAGCTTCCTCATCAGGACGGAACATGGGTATCTGATTGTACCCTGAATATGCATCCATGAAGTTTAATAGTTCATGTTCAGCGGTGGAATCCACAAGTTGGTCTATCCTAGGAAGTGGGAAGCTATCTTTAGGGCACGCCTTATTCAAGTTGGTGAAATCCACGCACACCCTCCACTTCCCGCTGGGCTTTTTCACAGGACCGGGTTGGATATCCACTTCGGGTAGATGGCTTCCCTTATGAAACCACTGCGGCTCAGCTTGCCTACTTCGTCTTTGAGCGCCTTGTACCTCTCTGAGTTGAGGGCACGTCTTTTCTGCCGATGAGGGGCACAGGCGGAGTTGATGTTAAGATGATGGCAACTGATCATTGGATTTATTCCCACCACGTCTTCGTGCTTCCAGGCGAAGGCATCCAAATTCCTTTTCAGGAAGTTTATCATTTCTTCTTTTGCTTCAGAGGACAGTGCATTTCCTATTCGCAAGACCTAACTAGGGTCCTCTGGGTTAGCGGAGAAAGTTTCGAGTTTTTCCATCGGGGTTGCATTTGGTTTAGAGTCAATTATCCGGGGATCTAACTCATCAAGAGGGTGTCCTTGTTCAGGGGCCCTCTTTCATGTCGATGTCTTCTTCCTATTCGGACGTACGCCCTTGTTCAGGGGCGTCGAGCATTTTCACGTCCATACTGGCTTCATTGGCAACTTCAGTTATTATCTCGTTAACAGTTCGGGGCTCTTACTTTCGTAGAGAGTTCAAGTAACATGCCCTGGAGCCCATCTGGTCGCCTCAGATCGTAGCAATCCCATGTTCAGTTGGGAATTTCATACATAAGTAGTGGATGGATGTGACTGCCCAAAGATCTTTCAAAGCGGGTCTGCCCAATACTCCATGATAGGTCGATCTGTGGTCTACCACTAAGAATTCCATGAAGTGTTGGACCACTAGGGGTGCTGAACCCATCTCAACGGGTAGAGTGATCCGCCCTCGTGGGATGATGCTCTCTCCAGTAAATCCGAATAGTGGGTCGGTCATGGGGATCAACCCATTTTCAATTTGCATTTTGTCGAAGGTGGAGCCGAACAGTATGTTCACCGAACTGCCATCATTGATGAGCATACTTTTGAGTCTGTTTCTAGCCACTACGGCTCTCACAACCAATGCGTTACAATGGGGGTGGTGAACTCCTTGTGCATCTTCCTGGGAGAAGGTAATTGGGGCCATCCTGTTGGTCTCGTGGGACTCATTGACAATGTAAGTGATCATTGGTGGGTCTTTTGCTTCTCTTGTGTAATTTCTTTGGGCGTTCCTGGTGTTGCCACCGATGTGAGGTCTCCCAATGATCGTGTCGATCTCCCTGATGACTTGGCTCCGAGAAAATCGGGCCTGATCTCCTTGTCTGGACTGACCTCGGTCCCTTGCTTCTCTTCTCCGGGTGATTGCTCTCTATGCCTTCTCTCTTCCCTGTTCGGGGAGGCGGATCTGCGAGGATATCCTTTCCCCCGGAAGGGATGTGGGTTGCTTCGATCCGAGCGTCGATTAGTGTCTTTGCACTCCTTGGTGTCATGCCCATAGAGTTGGTGGAAAGTGCAAAACCTTGCCCCTTCCAAGGGCCTGTTTGACCGCTTCTTCTTCTTTTTATTATTATCAGTTTTTCCGGATGGCCCTGCTTCGCCAGAGAGATTCTTATATGCCAGCACCAGGACTGCATTCAGCGTGGCAGAAGCCAGTGCCTGTCCGGAGGTGAGAGCTATTGTATGACTTGCTTGAGTCCATTGCTGACTGACAAGGTGTGCTGCGGGTCCTCGACCTACCTGCCTTTGAGGCGGAGGGAGTCCCTGCAGTGCACGATTTCTGTGGTCAATCATCTCTTCGCTAACGATCTCAACTCTCATCATTTCTACTAGCTCGTCATAAGTGGTGGGATTTTTGCTGTACACATCCCTCCAGAACAAAGTGTTCATGTTGAGGCCGCCTTTCAGAGTTGAAAGGGCTTCTCTGTCAGTGACCTGTTCGCAGTATGTGATTTCGTTTGTAAATCTGGCGAAATAGCTTTTCAGTGTCTCTCCAGGAGCCTGCCTCATATCTTGTAAGCGTTGCACTGGGGCCTCTCCTTCCCTGCGTGAGAGGTATTGGTTCAAGAATGCCTTCTTCAAATCTGGCCAACTCCTAATGCTCAGGGGAGGAAGTCTGCTATACCACACTTCAGCAGCTCCACCCAGGGTTAAGTGGAAGGCTTAGCATTTCAAAGTAGGTGAGGCTACCCTGAGGCTCGTTTGTGTCATGTACTTGGTGAGGTGCTTCTCCGGGTCCCCGTTTCCTACATACTTGGGGATCTTAGGGGGCATGAAGTTCGCCGGCATTGGGAAGCTTCGGATCTCCCTTGAGAATGGGAGGTTATCAATCGTCGATTTCATAAGATCGACAAGGCCCATCTGACCCTTCATCGTCTTGAATATCCTGGAGAGGTGGAGGTGCTTTTCCTCGGCTCCCCCAATTGACTAGGTTCCTTCTATCCCTCCCATTCTAGGAGGAGATGCTTGTTCTTGCTCCTGGTCTTGCCGAACTGATCTTTGCATTGAGCAAACCCTATTGCTAGGTCCTGCTTTATTCGGTTGAAGATGCTTACTGACCTTTGTTCCTCATATTCTTGAGGGAAATTGTCCCCTAGCTGTGGTTCTGCTGGCTGGCTCCCTTGCACATAGGATGTGGCTTCCGCGCCCACTTCTTTTTCGAGGGGGCGTTCTCTGTGCTGGCTCATATGGCCTTGGAAACGAGATACAGGGGCTTCCTGCACTGGATAAGATCCTTGGGGCATTTGAGAGCCCTGGTGACCTCGGGTTTGCATGAGAAGTTCATGCATCGCCATATTCTGAGCTGCGATGTCTCTCATTCTCGCAGCTATTTGAGTCATTCCTTCAGTGAGCATGGCTGTTCTTTCACCTCGACGATGCCGGTGATGGGGTCTCTGGTGACTGACATTGTTATGGAGCACCTCTTTTTCAGAGGCCTCTTTCATGGGGTTGTCGTCTTCATGGCTGGAACTGATTCTATCCCCTTTTTCAAGGGTGATGAGAACTTAGGTTATAACTCGACTTTGTTCTTTTTCAAGAATGTGCCATTTTCAGGGTAAGTCGCTAGTTTTCCGATGATTTCGCCGATGGAGAATGTAGAACTTTGAACGGGAAGTTTTCCACAGACGGCGCCAATCTGTTGATCTCGAAAATTGGACCCTCCACGTGGCCAACCGATAGCCACTCTATGTATTCCTCCCTGCGCACAATCAACGCACTGTCAGATGCACACAACCGGAACCAGCGGGGGCGGCGGCGACTGTATATACTCCGACGGTCAAGTTAGGCTCAGGTGATCGGAACAGTATCAAAGTTGTGCAAAATAGTGGGGAGGAGAATATATATATTTGTTTGCTATGGAGTACTAAGTAGTAAGAGTTTCATTGCCTCTACCTTTTGTCAAGCCTTGGGTATTTATAGGTGAGGAGAACCGTTGGATGTGGGACACGTGTATACATCTGATGATATGAGGCGTCTGCTCATAGGTGTCAATCAGCCGCGTCTATAGAGTGGGCGAGTAATTACTTCTCCCGAGTTGAGTTGATATAAAGTTGATACGTCACATTAACTAGCCCCATGGAGACGTCAAATTACTTTAAACCTTAGGGCCAGAAAAGATTTTGACAAATATCTCATTCTAAAATTGGTGGTGGATCCTCTGACCGAGATCCCCGGAGTGCATTTCGCCTCGGATTCAGGGGCGAGGGCACTTCGATCAGTCTCGCAGGATTGCCTATGCCTCGTGGTGTGGTATCAGATCATCACCATTGGTGAAGTTACTTCGAAACCACTTCGGATGAGTGTTCCACACCTCGCATGACATGGTGGTGGTCTTTCCGAAGTGGTTTAGATAGGGGCATAACACTTTTTATTTACTGTTTGCTGAAATCTAAGAGTGCGGTTGGTTTCCATTTTCATTTTCAAAACGATTTTTAGTTTTTCCTGAAAACGGTCCGTTTTGAGCGTTTTCGACATTTATAACTGAAAACGCTAAAAGCGATAAAAAGTCGTTTTACGTTTTCAGTTATAAATTTTAACTCATTTTCGAAAATGCGTTTTCGAAAACGACGGACCAAACTAGTTTTTCGCGTTTTCGAAAATGGAAAACGGAAAACGACCCGAAAACGGCAAACCAACGGCGGCCTAAGTAATTTGAGAGTTGGTCGATTATTTTAGGGATGTTGTTGAGATTCATGCAAGATTTTATAATTGAAAAGCGATATAACTGCATTATTGCTGATATGAAAGAATGCAGGAGTGATAGTGCTTCTTGCTGCAGCGAACACATTTCATTTTTTGCACTGATTTGGGTATCTATCTCTACTATGCAGGAGAAATGCAAAATGGAGGTCACCAAGAGCAGCCATAATTCCAAATTTTCATCTCCCAATGCGCAGTTATGAAGTTAAAAATCGGTAACTATTAAGGGCTACTCTCTGTTTCATGCTTTAGACCTTTGCATACTTCATTTATACTCGATAGGACAGAACATGGCCAATTAAGGTTTATTTGTCAGAGCAAATCAATTTTCTTTTATATGAATCTACTTTTCTTGAATTTAATTTAATATTGGTCACAGCATAAAATCTGAAGTATGCTGATGCAATTCGTTTCTTAGTTGAAATTTATGGTTTCAAAATGTTTTTTAATCCTTGCGCTACATGAGTTGAAAAATTTCACTTATTCTTTCTAGGTGACAAGTTAAATTTAGTACTATACAAACTGATAAATGCAACTTCCAAACAAAATAAATAAATTGCAAACTGAGATAGGATGTTCTAATTAAATGTAACAATATGTAACACACCTTTGGTGTGAATTACTAACTTATGGAGCCACCTGCAAGAAAGTTGAATGTGGTATGATTGATAAGAATGCACGGTGTCTTGCTTATCTTAGCTTTTGTTGGTTGAGATTTTTTTAGTTCAAATCAGTCTAAAAATGAAGTTTAGAAATTATTTAGTAACTGATATTTGTTTTATCTAGGTATCCTTGTGCTTGCTAGTGATTAATTATAAATTCCTCGTCTCCCTGTCCTGTGATTTACCACTTATGGTTGCCTGTTTTTCATGTGTACTCTTGAGTATGAGTGTATTAAGAATGATTTAATATTAAGTGTTCTAAATGGGTTTTTGAAATTCATTCATGTTCTCTTCCTTCATGCAGAAGGAATGATCTCAAATGATATTTCTGTTTGGTACTTGTGAAAGATAACATTGTTCACGTTACATTAGACGATTATCTTAAGGAACATTGCCTTGGGCATCAATAAGTACTTTCTAAAAGAATTACTAAAGAGAAGATGGATTAAGTTCTAAGATGATACAATGTTTTAGATATGAGTACCTCTTCTCCGTTTTGTTTGCAGGACAAATACGGAAGACATAAAGTCACTTAGACTTGTTACAGCCATTAAAACTCCATATCTACCGGATGGTAGATTTGATCTAGAAGCTTATGATGCCTTGGTGAATATGCAGATTGAACATGGTGCAGAGGGCGTGATTGTTGGTGGCACCACTGGTGAAGGGCAGTTGATGAGCTGGGACGAACATATAATGCTCATTGGTCACACTGTCAACTGTTTTGGTGCTTCCATCAAGGTTATTGGAAACACGGGAAGCAATTCGACTCAAGAAGCAATACATGCCACTGAGCAAGGCTTCGCTGTTGGGATGCATGCAGCTCTTCATATTAATCCTTACTATGGGAAGACCTCATTGGAGGGCATGATTTCTCACTTCGAGAGTGTACTTCCCATGGGCCCCACAATCATCTACAATGTGCCATCACGAACTGGCCAAGATATTCCCCCGCTCGTGATTCAATCTGTGGCACGAAGTCCCAACTTGGCCGGTGTCAAGGAATGTGTTGGGAATGATAGAATAGAGCAGTATACGAGTGATGGAATTATCGTGTGGAGTGGAAATGACGATCAGTGCCATGATTCGAGATGGGACTACGGAGCTACTGGCGTAATATCAGTTACTAGCAACTTGGTTCCTGGTCTTATCAGAGAACTAATGTTTTGCGGGAAAAATCCATTGTTAAATTCAAGACTCCTGCCTCTAATCGAGTGGCTTTTTCATGAGCCTAATCCTATTGGCTTAAATACAGCTCTTGCTCAGCTTGGTGTTGTGAGGCCTGTTTTCCGCTTACCATATGTACCTCTTCCTTTGGCAAAGAGAGTGGAGTTCGTGAATATAGTGAAGAAACTCGGGCGGGGGAATTTTGTTGGAGAGAAAGATGTTCAAGTTCTAGATGACGATGACTTCATTTTGATTGGTCGATATTAGCTGATATTCTGTGTAAGAGAACTAGGTTAATAAATTTGGTGTTCTTGTTGAATTCCTTTTGAAACATTAAAATGACTGTTTTTCATGTGTTGGCCTTTTTGTGATTGGAGTAGAGCCCCATGTCTTTGTTTGTATTGCTAAAGAAGAAGTATTTCACCAATTTCAGATGAGATTGTCAGAGTCCAGTACATTTTTGCCGCAGAATTTTTCCTCGAGATAATACCCAAGTAACCCAACTCTTGTTCTTCACAAGGACATAGACTATTCAAAGTTAATCCAGTTATATCAAACTGAACCACAAAGATTGATATTTGTTCATAAAACTGAATAGAAATAGAATGCACCTGTAACAGAGAATAAAAAACCATCTTTTATCATAATTATCAATAATTTAAAGGCTTACAGTCGAAATTACTACTATCGTATACGATGTAGCTGCTGAAGGAAAAGAGCTTGCCGTTGACCTCGGAAATTGGACCCTCCACGTGGCCAACCGATATTCACTCCACGTATTCCTCCCTGAGCACAATTAATGCACGGTCAGATGCACACGGCCGGGACCAGTGGGGGCGGCGGCGGCCGTATACAATCCGACGGTCAAGTTAGGCTCAGGTGATCAGAATAGCACCAAGGTTGTGCAAAATAGTGGGAGGAGAATATATATTTGGGTAATTAGCACAAAACGTCCCTACTTTTCGATGTTTTTGTGGAAAACATCCATACCTTTCGTTTTTTGGTGGATTACACCATCACATTTACCTTTTTTTGCGCAAAACGTCCTTCTGTCAACTCTCCGTTAAAATGTTCCGTTAAATCAAAAGGTAATTAACACAAAAGGTCCCTATCTTTCAATATTATTGTGTAAAACGTCCCTACCTTTCATTTTTGGCATAATTAGCACAAAAGGTCCCTACCTTTCAATGTTATTGTGCAAAACATCCCTACCTTTCATTTTTTAGCATTTTCATCCCTACCTTTCACCTTTCATTGCGAAAAAGGTCATTCTCATCCATTTTTTTAATAAAATGACGATTTTACCCTCCTATTCAAATAAAACAAAAAGAAAAGAAAAGAAAAATAAATAATTAATTGTAATCATAGTTCTAAATCTTTCAAAACATTATAGATAAATTCTAAACTTTCCACTACCGCCACTTTCATAACCCCACCAAGCCACCACCTATAGATCCATTTAGCACTACCTTTCGGCCACAGCACCTATCAGACTCCACCACCACCAGCCTCACTTCACTCTTTCCAATATCCTCCTCCCTAGTATTGATCACCAATCTGTCCAAAATAACCACATTTACGGTGGTAGAGTCTGGTGTGAATGGTGGCAGAAAGGTGGTATTATGTTGATTTATAGTTGGCAACTTGATAGGTTGTAAAAGTGGTGGTGGTTAGGAATTTATGATTTTCTTTGTAATTTTTTAAAAATTTAAGGACTATGGTTGCAGTTGATTATTCATTTTTTCTTTTTGTTTTATTTGAATAGGGGGTAAAATCGTCATTTTATAGAAAAAAATGGATGAGAAGGACCTTTTTCGCAATGAAAGGTGAAAAGTGGGGGTAAAAATGCTAAAAAATGAAAGGTCTGGACGTTTTGCACAATAATATTGAAAGGTAGGGGCCTTTTGTGCTAATTATGCCAAAAAATGAAATATAAGGACGTTTTGCACAATAATATTGAAAGGTAGGGACCTTTTGTACTAATTACCTTTTGATTTAACGGAACATTTTAACGGGGAGTTGATAGAAGGACGTTTTGCGCAAAAAAAAGTAAAGGTAAGGGTGTAATCCGTCAAAAAACGAAAGGTAGGGACGTTTTCCACAAAAACATCGAAAGGTAGGGACGTTTTGTGCTAATTACCCTATATATTTGCTTGCTTTGGAGTGGGGGTGGCAGCGGCCGTATACACTCCGACGGTCAAGTTAGGCTCAGGTGATCGGAATAGTACCAAGGTTGTGCAAAATAGTGGGGAGGAGAATATATATTTGCTTGCTATGGAGTGCTAAATAGGAAGAGTTTCATTACCTTTGCCTCTTGTCAAGCCTTGGGTATTTATAAGTGATGAGAGTCGTTGGATGTGAGACACGTGTATACATCTGAACGGTATGAAGCGTCGGCTCATAGGCGTCAATCAGCCGCGTCTGTAGAGTGGGCGGGTAGTTACTTCTCCCGAGTTGAGTTGACATAAAATTGATAGGTCACATCAACTAGTCTCATGGAGACGTCAAATCACTTTAAACCTAAGGGGCAGAAAAGATCTTGATGAAGATCTCATTCTGAAATCGACGACGGATCCTCAGGCCGAGGTTCACGGGATTCATTTCGCCTCGAATTCAGGGGGCTAGGGCGCTTTGGTCAGTCCTGCAGAATTACCTATGCTTCGTAGTGTGATAGCAGGTCATCTCCATTGGTGAAGTCACATCGGAACCACTTAGGGGAACCACTTCGGATGAACATTCCATACCTTGCCTAATGTGGTGGTGGACTTTTCAAACTGGTTCAGTTAGGGGCGTAACAGTGGTCCCCCAAGTCCAGGTATGAATATTTATATCATGGGTGAACTTGTCTTCCTGATCGGGTATATGCGCCTCGGGATGGGGATCGTGACTTATGAGAACTTGAGGGTCAATTTTCTGTGTTCACCGAAGCGTTGATCATGGGCAGATGCGCTAAATCTTCGCCAGTGTGTGAGGGAAAAAATTTACGTGACGTCGAGGTGCAAACGAGCTAGACGATGTGTGGGGAGATGATCAACGCAGCGACCGAGGCGATGACCAACAGAGGACTCTGCGTCAGGTGCGTCTAAGCTTTGTAAAGTTGAGTGAGGAGTTCATCTGCCATCGATGCGCTGACCCACAGGGGACGACGCGTTGGGAGATGGCTAAAACTTTGTAAGCTTAAGAGGGAACGCAGCGACCCAGGCGATGACCCACATGGGACTCCGCGTTAGGTACGCCTATGCTTTGTAAAGTTGAGTGAGGAGCTCATCTGCCATCGGTATGCTGACCCAAAGGGGACGGCGCGTTGGGAGATGGCTAAAATTTTGTAAAGCTTAGGAGGGAACTCAGCGACCGAGGCGATGACCCACGGGGGACTCCGTGTTAGGTGCGCCTAAACTTTGTAAAGTTAAGTGAGGAGCTCATCTGCCATCGGTGCGTTGACCCAAAGGGGACAACGCGTTGGGAGATGACTAAAACTTTGTAAAGCTTAGGAGGGAACGCAGCAATCGAGGTAATGACCCACAGGGGACTCCGCGTCAGGTGCGCCTAAGCTTTGTAAAGTTGAGTGAGGAGCTCGATCCGAGGCGGGCGTTTCTAACGTTAAATGATTTGACAGCTGCTGCGTATTTCCAAGGTGATGGTTGGATGCAGCGCCCATTCCCCTAAAAAGCTGCTGCGGCTACTTATTGTTGACGGCTGGTGGTGACCGAGGTGACGCGTTATGTGTGAACGTGAGGATCACAGCAAAATCTTAAGCGTAGATCAAATCTAGCATTTCATTTCAATGGCCTAGATTGATTGTGCGATGGACGGCCTAGATTGGTTGCATATGAATTTAACAATGGAGATTAGTTGGAGCACTCTATAAAAAGCGGACTTGAGCATTTTTAGAGTTCTTACTCTTTGCGAAAACAGAAAATTCCATTGCCCTCAAACCTCTTTGAGATTTTCGGTGTTCTTCAAGCATTTTCGACGAGAACTTTGATTTTTCGACGACCACACACCACTTTTTGACTGTTTTCGGCTGGGGAACATTCAAACTCATAAGTTTTAGTAACTATTTTTGAGATATTTCCTTTCTGAAAATGTCTTCCGAAGGTAGTGCTAGTTCGGGGAGGGGACTGGAGTTAGTACGGATGGACGAGCCCATTATGGCGACCTCCTTCGAAGTAGCCGAGGCGATACTTAGGGGAGAATATTTGGAAAAGGCCGGATAGCCCAATAGATACCTCTGTGCATTGGGGGGCGTCGGATTACCCCTCCAAGTTAAAGGCGGCCAACCTAAAAAGACTTAGGACTGAATATAGAATACCGGATAGCATAAACCTGATCCTCCCCGAGCTTGACGAGAGGGCCTGCTACCCTAGGCTAGGGTGTGTGGCGATAAGTGAGGCGATCCTTACGACTGGCCTTAGGCTTCCAATTCACCCATTTTTTCGGATGGTGCTTAGGTCTTACGGCTTAGCACCGACCCAATTGAATCCGAACTCCTGGAGCCAGATGGTGGGCTCCTGGATGTTATGGAAACAGGCGTCACGAGGGGTGGAGATGCCCTTCTCTGTTTTTCGGACCCTCTATATTCTAAAAGTAACAGCCGGGGGATAAGACCAGGGGCTGGTATTACCTGATCTCTTGGGGTTTCCACACTCTATTCGTGCTCGATCTACCGAGCTCTATTAAGGAGTGGAAGAGCTTGTGGTGCTGGGCTGCCGGAAAATAGGACATGATGGAGGGGGACCTCCTGGCACCTCTTACGGTCCCCACGAAGTACTTGACACTTAGTGAGTATTGTAGTTGTATTTCTTTTTTTTTCTTCAGTTCGGATTATAACTAACAATCGTATTCATTTTTTGAAGGCACTCTTCCTCAGTGCGAGCTGTCCTCCGACAATTTCGAAATCATTAGCGTGATCTATCAGTTGTCTCTGAAGAAGAGGTCGTTCCATTGGTTGACCAGAAAGAACCTCCATTTTGTGACGCACGACCTGATGGCCTCACAAGGTTATGTCTCGAAGCGAATACCGTTGAATATTTTCGAGTCGTTTACACTTGTACTAATTTACTTGTTTTTTGCAGATAACTTCAATAAGAAGATGCCTCTCCGGCCCGACTTCAAAACGATACAGAAGATGATGGCCGAGGTGAGGGCCTTGAAGACCTCCTCCTCCTCTTACAAGAAGCAGATGGAGGACTTAGTGGATGCCAGCAAGAGGCTCTTGCCTCCAACGGAGGAGGAGGTGCTTGAGGTTCCAGAGGCGAATCTGCTTCGGAAGGGCAAGAAACTTGCTGTCCTTCGAAGCGACCAACGGTGGCAAGGCCGCCCTCCGTTCTGAGGCAAACCACAATTCCTACCGGGGTGGCCATTCCAGAGAAAACGTCCACGCCATCAGAGGCTTTCCCTGCCCCGACCAAGGCGCCAGTTGCTGCTGTCCC